AAGGAAAAGGCACACAGCTTGGGCCGGCTCCAGGCTTTATTATAGATGGTGGCTACAGAGATACAAACACAAAAAAAACATACATAATAAAAAATCAAACTCCTCTTTTACATACTATGAAGGGAGAAGCGTGGTGTCCGGCTCCGTTTGTGTCTCGTTTGTCCATCCATGCCCGAATTTCTGCTCGCAGGTGCAGCCCTGCATCTCGGCAGCATTTTCCACCCCTCCCTGCCCCTTTCTCCCGGCTGAAGCTGTCCCGTTCCTGCCTCCCCTCTTCTAAACCGATCGCCCCTTGATTGGGAAGCATCCCAAATCCCAAGCCCCCACAGGCATCCCTATGGGAACCCCGCTGCCCCTCAGCTCCAGGGCTGTAGGTTTGGGTTTCTGTTGCTCTTTTAGGAGCATTTTGCAGGTTTTCTCTGCCTGCTTGCAAAAATAGAAAGATTTGAGCTGGGTCAAATACGCGGGGATGTGACTGTCGTCCCCTGCAAGCTGGCAGCATTATCTGCACGTTGTTAATCATCTCAGGTAGCCAGGGCCTTTCCTCGATGTTTCTCGGTTTGAATTTTTTACTGAGAGATCCTTTCCTGGGTGTCCTCCCCTTTTATTTTTTTTCCTTCCTCGCTTTCAGGGTTGTTTCCCACTTTATCTTCCTTTCTAGTATCTCTGCCCTAAAAATCTGGTTCAGACGCCTTTCCAAAAAACAACCCCGCCAGTCCTTGATGGTATTTATTCTTTTTTTTTTTTTTTTTTTCCTAAAAACTTCCTCTTCATTCTGCTACCAGCACAACCGTCCTCCTAAATCTCAGCCCTGTTTGAAAACCATCTGGCTTTCCCCCGGCCTCGCTCTATGCGAGCGGCAGATAATTACTAGAAAGGGTGGGCTGCGAAGGATTTTTGCATCATTGCAAGAATACAGCCACTATTATTCTACATGCCATGCAGCCTTTTAGAGAATTAAAAAGGCATAACGAGAAACATCTTACCCTGCTCTGAAGGAAAATAAACTACGTTGAAGTCTCTCCATTCATCTCCAGAGAAAATGCCAGCGTAATCCGAGACAGGGACCGGCCGGGAGGAGGGAGGGGTACATGTGTGCATGTATATATTTTAAAGCGATGAGACTTTGAAGATGCTGCTGAAAAAAAAAAAAAAAACTATTTATATCCCAGACCTTTTAATACAAAACACTGCTGGAGAGGCAACTTCAAGGACGCGCTGCTGCAGCGGAGTGGGAAGAATTTAAAGTTTGCTCAGAAACCTCTTCCCGAGCCCACGTCTTCCTGGATGGAAACGCCGGGCGCACGTGAAGGGCATTTCACAAGCCGCTTGCACGGCTCGCCTGGGCTTTCACCAGATTCCTCTTTCTCCTTCCCTGCTGCTGCTGCTGCTGCTGCCCCCTCTCCCAAACTCATTCAAAGCCCTTTGAAAAAGAGTCAAACAAAATACGGAGGAGGAGAGTGGTGGGAACCTCGCTATCGGGCAGCGCAGGGCTGGAGCCACGCGGCCACGTCCCCACGGCGCTGTCCTGCTGCCCACTCCATCCAGCCACACCTGGGCATTTATCGAGCCCTGCCAGACAAAATGGGGAAGAGGGTGGTGAAAAAGAAGAGAAAGAAAACAAAACAAGACCCAAATGAAAAACATCAACCCGCAAACGAGAGGAAGTTCGGCGTGGGACTCGTTGTCTCCCCGAGTGCCAAAGCGCAGGGCTCGGTGCCCTCCAGAGCTCCATGTTGGAGCTGCTGGCGAGGTGATCCTAAGGGCCCCCAGAAAAAAAAAATAATAATAATAATGAAAAGTACCCCTCTGTGCCTTTTATTTTCTTTATTTTATTCCCTTTTGCTCAAAAAGCCAGCGACAGCAGCCAGCTCCAATCGCAGAACTCACCCACAGCCAGGTGGCCGGGCTGTTTGGGGCACAAGTGCTGGTGGTTGGGGCACCCAACATTTTGGGCACCCACCTGGGGTGAGGGACATCCTCTCCCTGACCCCACACGCTCCCTGCCTGCCACACTTGCATCTCTCCAGGCCAAGGAGCCTGAAACAAAGGAAAGTGCCCCTGGATGGGGCCGCCCCTTCGCTGCAGGGTCACTGTCACTGATGGTGCTACCAAAGGGGGTGCCTGGGGGGAAAACCCAGGGTGCCCTTGTAAAAACCCTCACAAAGCATGTGCAGGGGTGCAGGATGGTGCTACAGCCCAAAAGCTGGAGCTCCCCCAGCCCTGGGCACAAGAGGTGGCACCAAAAAGCAGGATGGGGAGCTCCAGGCATCTGGTGTAGCCAAATAACACCAGACCTGCATCCCCGTCAGGCACAAGAGACGATGGACAATTTTTTTTCAAAAGGAAAAAATTAATCATAAACCAGGTTTTTTCCCCCCTCAGAATTAATTAATTTTCGTCCCACTGCTTTTCAGCAAAGAAGGAAGAGGCAACTTTGTCCTCTGATCCTCTAGGACCAGAAAGGGAGAGGGAGCAGTGAGAGGATTGAAGCCAGGGGAAGAGGAAGCGAGCAGCTTTCCAGAACTCCTATTTCTGGTCTGGGGAAGTTTCCCACTTCCCTCAGGGACACACTGGATGAAGTTGAGAGCAGCTCTGCTCATTTTCTTGCAAAAATCCATCACCTTTTAGGCAGCACCAACCTGAATCTTTCAATCTGCTGCTATGGATCTGGATGGAAGGGGACCTGCGATGACCCCACTGCCACCCACACATCGGGCATCACTCGTGGCCCAGGTGGGGCATTGCTGGCTCTGAGGGTATCGCCACCTCCCTCTGAACCGAGGGCTTCCCACGTCTGGATTTAGGATTGCTGAGTTGCAGGGAGATGTTCCTATTAGCCGTGCAGAATTTAAATGTGCCTGAAATCCAAATTCCACCCACGCTCTGAGTTAAAAAATCAGGGAAAGCGATTCGTAACCACTTTGAGCCACATGCAGCTTTTTGGAGAAGGCAAAGCTGATTTTCCTGCATAAAATACTGAGGACTTACCCATGGAACAGAGAGCAGCAGCTTCAGCAGTGCCCAGGAGCTGCGGGGGTGCCCCGACGGGTGGCTCTGGGGTTCAGGAGCAGGGGGGGCATTGTTTCTCCCCTCCTTTTTTCTCCCCTCCTCCCGCTCGCATGCCAGCGAGCAAAGCTGTGAGCAGGTACGAAGCATCCAGGGTGACGAGGCCCCGGAAAAAAAACCTTTGCACAGGGCTTTTGGAGGGTGAAACCATATCAGGTCTCAGGAGCTGGCAGGCAACACAGGGAGGAAGCTGTTAGCATTTCGGTGCGAGCGGGCACCTGCGCAGCCCTCCCGCCCCCGCCGTGCCCCTCTCCATTCACGCCGGGCACGTGAACAGTCACGGTTAGGAGCACAAAACCTTTGCACAAAACCCCGCCGAGTGACCCAGCAGCTAAAAGCTCATTTGCATTCATTAGAGGTCCCCAGCCGAGGAGCTCAGCGCTGTTCCCGCAGCCCTGCTCCGTGCCTCGCCGTCCTCACCTGCCCCGAAAGCTCCCTCTCTGCTGCTGAAGCTCCAGGGATGCTGCTGGGCCCGACACCGATCGAGTGACAGGGACAATGATTTGCCCTGAAAGAGGATGCATCCCCTGGGATGCCTCTGCATGGCCGTGTCCCCGCTCCCAGCTCCCGTGGAGCTGGGTGGCCATTCCTGGGGGAAAATGATCAGGGATTTAATTCTCCCCTTGCACCGTTCCAATGGGTGATGGGGTTTAAAACCTAGGGGAGACTGGAGCTTTTTGGCATGAGATTATCATGCAAAGGGCAGTTTGTTGCACGTGCACCCTGCGGGCATCCCCCATCTCCATCGTGGGGCTCCAGGAGATGCTTTTTGGGATGGCCTCCCCAGGAGGAGCACCCCATGGGGACATCCCGGTAGCATCCCCGTGAGTCCTCCTCAGCTCCTGGGCATGGGGATAACCCGGTGCAGCATCACAGCAACAAAAACGTGGGGATGCCCAGAAGGAGGACGGATGGTGGGCAGTGATGCTGCAGGCAGCTCAACGGGGCTGTCACCACCACAGCAGCCCTGACGGACCCCAATTCTCCAAGCACTTTGTGTCTGTACCCCTGGCTCCCAAATTGGGTGTGCAGAGGAAACCCATGGACACGGTGACCCCTAGGACGAGGTACCAGGAGAGCCACCGGCAGCCCCCAGCACCATGAGATGCTCACAGCTGCTCAAATCCATGGCCCCGAGGTGGGCTAGGAGGGACGGGGATGGAGGGATGGATCCGATGCTCGCAGCTGTGGCAAAAAATCCAGGGCTCCGGGACGTCCTCCGCTTCGCATTGTCCACCTCTCGCTCTAGACGGTTCTCATTAAGGCCCGCAATTGATCTCCTGTCTTTAAAGGAAATAAGAAAGAAGGAACAAACCAAAAGGGATCCTCCTTCCTCCAGCCCAGGGGAACAAATCTGGCTTTAATTTCTTTTCCTTTTGTCATTCCAGTCGGGGATTTCGCTTTAACGACGCTGCCTTCCCCATCCCTCTTCTGCTCCTCGAGAAACTGGAAAGCATCCCCTCTGCTTTCTATGTTTCCTCCCTTTGTTGTGTGATTTATGAAAGGAGTTTCCCCTCCCTCTATCTTTCTTGCTGTGAGTCGAGGACCCCCAAAAAGTGGCTCTCCCCACCCCGGAGTTCAGAAGAGCCGCTCTGCGGTGCGCTCGGGGCTGGGACCGATGCGCAGTATTTCGTCTCCTCTGGGAAGGTGCTGGAGGAGCACATCTTGGAGCTGTCCTTTGGGAAAGGCCTTCAAATCCACACTGTGGATGATCTCTGATTTCCAGTAAGGGGAGAAAATCCAGCACCCAGCCATCCACACGGAGCAGGTAGGAGGAGGCAGAGGACCTGATCCCAAGAGCCAAACCTCAACGGGGTTTTCCTACCCTGCCGGCAGCTCTGTGGATGTCCCAGGGTGATGGCAAAAGCCAGCTCCCTTCCCTGCCCTGCGGTCAGCCCCTGGCACAAGCCCATCGTGGTGAACGTGGAGGTTGTGAGAAGGACCCTACACCACTGCAAGGGGGGGGAAAAACCAACATTTAGGAGCATAAGGAGAAAATGCACCCGAAATAATGGCCTTTAAAGCAGAAAATGACTCCCAAGTATGTTTGTTGTGTGCTGTTGTTTTGTTGTGTTTTTTCTTTTTCTTTTCTTTTTCTTTTCTTTTTTTTTTTTTTCTTTCATTTGGCATATGCACCAAGAAGTTATTAAAAGGAACTGGTTAAATATCTCATTAATGAAGATGAATGAAGACTCAGATTTGTTTTTAAACAGTTCAAAGCAGTTTTGTTCTGACCTCCCAAAGTGTGTGTGCGTGGAGGGGGATCTCAATGCTTTAAAAACGTTCTTTTCTTTTATTTTTTTATTATTTTTTTTTTAAGCAGCTTAAACTGATTTCAGTGCTGGAGCTGCTGCTCCACATCCTGGGAGGGAGAGATCAGCCTGGGACGTGAGAAAATCGGTTTGCGGAGCACAGAAACGCATCGGGGTGGCAGGGGCTGCTCTGCAAATCACCCAAATCATCCTCATCCCACCACGAGTGCTGGGGATAAGGCAGCTCCTGGGGGATGAGACGGATCCTACCCCTAAAATTTGAGCTGGTTCTCCCCATCCCACACGGGGTGCGGGATGCAGGTTGTCCCATCGCCACCATCCCTGCCACCAGCCTGGGGTCCCGGTGTCCCAGCCGTGTCCTGGGGCTGGGCTGTCCACCCGAGCTCTCATCCACATGGCACAACGCCCCGGCTGCCCCACGAATCCCCAGCCCCAAATGAAAAGTCTCCCAGCGCCTGCGAAGGGCAGAGCCGGGAGGGAGCAGGGGAGGAGCGGGTTTTCAGATTGGTTTTTGATACACAGCCTAAAATAAGGCACAGAGGAGCTTCCCCGAAGAATGATTGCATTAAAATAGCCCTCTCCATTACACAGACACTAATAGAGGCTCAGTGCATTATTTCTATCAAAGTGCAATTTGCATTTACAAAGGGCTCCCGGGAAGTGATGGATGGGGAAGGAATGGAGAAAGGCTTGTAAAGCCGAGCGTGCTCATCTTGGAGTAACTTTCAAGCACAAGGCGGTTTTTCTTACACCTTCCCCTCCAAAGAAACTCGTGACGTCTGCTTAAATGAACATTCAGGCTCTCGCCTTTCACCCCGCAGCCCATCAATAAAAGCCGGAGGAGCGGAGGAGAGGGGATATTCATTTATCTTCATTAGGACTCTGGCCAGCTCCTCTGATCACCACGTCGGCGTCGCCGGGAAGAGAAAAAGCTACTGTTCCTCTCCCCGGCTTCCCCGTGTGCTCGCCCAGCCGCGGGCGGGCTGGAGAGCCCCTCGGGGCCGTGGGGGAAGCTTTCACACCATGGTCTGTGCCCTGAAAAAACCGAGGGGACTTTGGCCACGGGGGGACTTTCCCCACCTCTGCCCCCTCGCAGAGGTTGAGGTCCCGGGGAGCAGCGGGCAGGGAGGGGAGGGTGAAGGAAACGCCGTCGGGGCCAGGTGAAAGAGGAGGTGATCCCCATGAGACAGGCAGAAGGTGATGTGCTCGTGGACTTCTGGTTTGAGATCTCAGCCCCATCGCCAGCCTCCAGGTAACCACCCACGGGCAGCCTTTCAGAGGCCCTCTTTGGAAGAGGGGCATCATTTTGGGAGAGGCACTTCACACGCACCCTGCTCTGCCCAAACTTTCCTCTTACGGACACACTCAGGTCCTTCAGGATCCTCTGAAAACCTTTCTGGGGTGCTGAGGGGATGAGCTAACTGCTGCTGGGCTCGGGGATGTCACCCGACTGTCACCAGACAGTCCTGCTGCCATCTCCCATGAAGGATGCTCCTGGGAGCCAAGTCCTGACGGTCACCTACAGAGCGAGCAGGGACCTCGGGTTTGGGCTTTGTGCTCTTTCTGAAACCCACCAGCAGCTCTCCAAAACCCTTCTGAAAGCCACCAGCAGCTCTGCCAGCTCTGTCCCTGCTCCCCCCAAGAGACACCCAGTTCTTCTCTGAGCCCTGAGACAATTGCGAGCCGTGGTGGCTTCCAGCAGCACCACTCCCCACTTACACTTTGAAAAATAACCAAAGGTTTCTTTGTCATCCTGGAAATTTCTTCACCTCTTCCTTTCTTGGAGCCTCCTTCCATTCTTACAAGTCCCAAATACCCCTTCACTAAACCCTTTATCTTTTGTACATCTTTTTTTTTTTTCATGCCGCACTCCTGATTCTCTCTTCTCACCCTTGATTTCTCCCCCAAAGGAGACCACACAGCCCTTTTATCTCCCTTTTCTGATTCCCGTAGCTTATTTCTAAGAGAAAGATGACTGACGGTGCTCACAGCTTCCCAAGCAAACACATCATTGACTTGCTGAGGCAACATCACCATTTTTTACGTCTCACCCACCATTTACCATCTCATCCATCTCTGGATGGATGCTGGCTTGATGCTTTTAGGCAAAGGCATGGGATAACGTGGACATTAATCCAAACTCCTGCCTGGAGAGTCAGCAGGCACAAGCCAGTGTCACTGCTTTGACTTCTGTAAAGTTTGTGATACCTTGCATGCAAACAGCAAGCCTTTAAGAGTCATCAGACACCAAACTTATCCTACCTTTTTGCACTACCTTTTGTTCAAAAGGTTGAACTTTAAGACATTTTCCATGGCTTGATGCTTCCTGATCCTCAATGTCTCTGGGTTTAAGGTCTCAAGACATCCTTGAGGATGGAGGTCCAGAGCCAGACTGCGGTGCCTACAAAGATATCGCCTCTTCCATCAGGTATCTCCCACCTCTATAATTTTTGCCCAGTGTCTATCTGTTCATTGGAAATCCATTTCAGCACTGCGACCTGGTGGAGAGACCGATGATCAAGGGACTGCCCTGAGAAGGCAGACATGGGGACACAGCTCCCTTCTCTCTGTCCCCCAGCACTCCGTGGTGTCTGTCCTCAATCCCCTCGTGTTTTTTATTTGCAGAGCCAGGTGGCTTCTTAAAGAAGAAGGCAAGGGGTGAAGGGGTGAGAGGGGACTGCAGTACCCGTGCCCCAGCAAGAAGTCACCGGGAGGAGACCCAGTCTGCTCATGTCCTTCAGCTCTAGAAAGACACCAGGGATCTACAGATGGGTGAAAGAACCCCACATTTAGATGAGAAAGCAGGATTCAGGGTCCTCATAGCACAGACATCAACTTCCCAAGAGCAGTGAGAGAATTGTTTGGTTTTCATCAGTTTGGGGAGTGCTCATCTCAATTTTTTTTGTCCCTTGTCACTCAGGGTGGTCCAAAGCCCCGCACGAAGCACAAGCCTGGGAAGGGTGACCCCTTTCATACTGCCTGGGTACATCTGGGTGCCCCCAGGACCAGTCCCTGCTCCAGGGGAACCTTATCACCTCTGTCCTTCCTGGCTCACCATTCTGCCTTTTCTGCCTAATTATCTGGCTGACATCGTTAAGCCATGCTCAGCCGTCCTCAGCCAGGGCATTGCTTACAGCTCGCTGTATCCCAGACCCACAAAAAGGCTCACGTGGCTGAAGAAGTGTCAGGCTCTGCTCACAGCCCCACCAGGGCTTCAGAAATGGGTTTTTGCCACCACCCTCCCCTCTCTCAGCTCATCCACCTGGCAATCGGAGCTGGCTCCAGCGCGCCCCTGCTTCACAGAGTCCTGCAGGAGAGGACGCTCCTCAGGCTCTTGGTGTAGAAACAAGGGGTTTTGCAGCTGTACGAGGAAGGAGGGATGGCACACAGAGATAAAAGATCACGTAGCTATTGCCACCACTGCAGGTCTGCCCTTGTTTTCCGCCTGCCCTCCCAGCCCAGCTCCGCGCAGCCGTCGCAGCTCTCCGCTCCCAGACCCACGCAGCATGATGTTGTTGCCTTTCTTTTCCTGTTTGCCCATGGAGGAGCGTGTTTGAACAAGGCATTTGCTTTGTAGACAATGCATAAAGAGCTGGGAGCAGCTCTCTGACCAAGGCTGACCTTCAGCCCCGTGTTCACAAGCACGCTGGTAACCCCAGCAGCCTCCCCGAGCCCGGTGCACCTCTCCGTGCCAGCGTTGCTCCACCTTGCTCTGGAAGCCTACGAGCCTCGTGGTGGCTCTCCATGTGCCACATAACACCAGGGAGGGATCTCCAGGTTCCGTGCTCAATTTCTGCTGCCTTAGGAGCAAGCACATCCCTAGGCAGTGCAGCAGAGAAGAGCAAATTCCTCCTCGTTGTACCTCCAGGGATATTTCAGACTATGAAGATCTTCAGCCCGTGCCAAAGAGGACACCTACAAGTTCAGCTGGAAGCTCTCCATTGCTTTGAGGGCACAGATGAGATCTTTAAGGCAAGTCTCAGTGACCCAGACCCAACTTCCAAGTGTCCGAGATGTCCACACAGAGCCAGTGGAAGAAGCTCAGCACCCCCTGAGGATCACATCCTCCTGGAACAGCAGCCAAAGATCAAGGACTCCCTAGGTTTTTAAAGCTGACATTGGCCTCTGAGATGTCTGCAGCTGAATTTCACCTCTAAATTAAGGTGTAGGGAGATGAATCTCACCTGGTGCCCAGCTGCAACCTATTTGCCAGGGACAGGAGAAACCCTCATTTATATCACGGGGATAAGGCTGGAAGGCCCTCAGAGGCAATCTCACCCAAGCTGCTGCAGATTTCACGAGGGTTGCAGTAAAATGCTTAGTTCCTAGCATTGGGAAAGAAAAATGTGTGACGGGGGAGACCTGAGGGAAGAGGGGGTGATGACATTACTTTGCCTGCAGCAGCAAAACTGCTTTAGGAAGCCCTGTTCCCAGCTGGATCATTGCAAAGCTCTGGGTTTAAGCAAGAAATAAACCCCTGGAAGCAGTGTTCACAAGCGTGGCTCCCAGCCCTTGCTGACCCTGGATCCACACAGGGGTCCCCATGCAGGACCCGCTCCAGCCCCAACGCTGACGACAAACCCTGGTCCTCCCTCATCCCAAACCTCCAGGGATGGAGACGTGGCCTCGCCGCAGCCCCCCGCACAAAAGCCTGTCCTCACCGTAGAAAAATGTTCCTTCAACCTCTCTGGATGTAATTTAAGCCAATTACCTCCTGTCCTGTTCCTGGTGAGCACGGAGAACAGCTCATTCCCTTCCCCTCCGCAGAAGCCTGTTACATATTTGTCGGCTCTTACAAAGTTTTCCTAAACTAAACAACTGCGAGCCTTTTGATCTGCCTCCCTTGGCTGTGGCTCCCAGCCCTCTGGTCTCTCTCGCAGCCCAGCTCCGGGTTGTCTCCAACCACCCTGCGTCCTTCCAGCAGATTTGGGGCCGGAGATCTCAATGGTACGGAGCTGGAGAGGGGGACCGGGTACCAGCATCGAGCTCACACCTTCCTTTGCAACTTCTTTCGACGAAGGAAAAGTTTTTGGGCAAGGAAAAACGGTTTCCTTCAGCACCAGGTCCCCTCGGTCCTGCTGGGGCATGGCAGATGGGGCTCAGCTTTCCGTGGGTGCACCCAGCAGGGTGGGGAGAGCGGCGGTGAAGAAATATTTAGAAGGGAGCCAAGCAACTGAGGTGTGTCCGAGAAGGTGCGAGATGGGCTTCAGGCGCCGCCGTGTTCGACACGGCGTCGGGGTGACTCCAGGGTGAAGGACTGACTGCTTTCTAGTAGTTCTTGGGGAAAAAAAATAAATTAAAAAAGAAAAATAGTTCACTAGATTGAGTGAAAGAAGAGCAGACAATCAGAGTAAGCCAAAAAGCAGAGCAGGAGGCAGTCCCCCGAACGCCAGGACACTTCCTCGTGGAAATCTCATGGGCACATCTCGCCCACCTCCCCGGCAGCCAGGAGAGCAGAGGGGCCAGGGAAGCACCAGGTCTAGGAGAGGAGGAATGGGCATCTCGGGTGGCTTTTGGTGGCCACAGAGACTCCCCTGGTGCCAGTTCATAGACGCAGAAGATGCATTTTCAGAGGGGAAGCAGCTTCCCAGGGGGTCAAGAGGATCTCGGCAGCAGGTAGAAGGGGAAGGGCTCCTTGTGTCCTGGCTGCCAGGAGCTGGTCCATTCCCTGCGACAACACCAGCTGCTGCAGACCCGGCCAAACCCATCAAAAATCAGCATCTTGGTCAAAACAACAACAACAACAAAAATGCTACTGTTAATTCATACGAATGCTTGCAATTATAATTAAGTACCATCACTCAGGTATTCACGGCGGCATGCTTGGTGAGCAGCCAGACTCGAGATGGGAGCTGTGAAGGAGAGCCTGGCTGACCACGCACGGAGGCTCCAGCTGCAGCGGCGTGCCCGACGTGCCCGGCTCTGTCCTCCAGCCCCGAGGCCATGGGGCAGGGACAAGCCTTTGCCCACTGAATTACCCTCCCCTCCCTGCCAGAGCAGGGCAGCCGCATCCAACCCGCCTGGTGGGAAGGGTTCGGGGCCACGCAAACTCCCGAGCCGTGCCTGAGAATTACCTGGGCGAGCGCTAATAATTTAACAGAGAGGATAATTGGTGTCTGAAGCCTGGAACTGTTTAATTTTCTGGGATAGACGTAGCCCCGGGGGCCCTCACTGCAGCCCTAGCTGGGAAAGCATCCCAGAGGCTTGAAAGCGCTCGAGCAGGTGTGAGATGTTTTCCTGGGTTAGGACGAAGGGTTTGGTCTGGAGTCAAAGCTGGTGGTGGGGAGATCTTGCACCAGTAACCCCAAAAGGCCAGCCCCAACATATTCTGTGCTCGGTGTCCAAAGCCAGGCTGGCTTTTCGGTGAAGCCCGTGCTCCTCGTGCGCTCCTTCCAATGCCCCGGGGCCAAACCCCGGCGAGATACACATCAACCCCTGCGTGCCACCACACGTGCACACGAGTCCTGGGCTGCAGAAAAAGCTCACAAACATCTCCTGACATCAGGGAACACCAGAGCTGGGCAGGAAAGCTGCGACTTCGCCTCTCCTGGGGTCTGGGCATGCAGAACCGTCCTCACGACCACTTCTTGGAGTGGATTTTCTCCCTGCGCAGGGCACCACGGAGCTCTCGATGCTGGGATGTGCAAGGAAGGATGCCAGGAGCTAGGTGTGGAGCAGCCTGCACTGGGGAATGAGCTGGCTTTGCAACCCCATCCACTGAGCTGAGAGCAGAGTTGTCTTCTCCTAGGTGATGCCAAAGAAGCTGCTGGTTCCCAGGGGCAGTGAAGGGCACCGGGACGTGATGCTGCTGGCACCACTTCTGGGTGCCACGGGCTGCTGACAGCACGAGCACCCCAAAACCTCACTGTGCTGCTGCAATCTCCTGCCTGTAAACGCTGTTGACATCCCTCCCTCTGCTTGCTCTGAGATGAACAAAATATTCTCCCCATGAAATATCCAAAGGGTTCCCAGAAGCCAGGTAAGGACACAGAAGAAGAAAGTTATGCTCAGCTCTCAACCCCTGGGGAATGCCAGGACAGCCCATTGTACAGCAGAGTTTTATTACAAAAAGCGCATTTGGGGAATAAATATTAGGTTCCCAGTGATCTTCCCCCTTACAAAGCAAACTTCATGACCTCAAAAAGCCCCAAAGGTTTTGCTGCAGTGAGCAGGAGAAGCTGCAGCTTCGGGTGGGGGAGCCGCAGGAGCCACAGCCAGCACACGTGGGGGGCTCCATCCCTGGGCAATGTGAAGGACATGAAGGATTTCTTGGTCTCCTCCTCGGTGGGTTTCTTCTAATTTGAATCCTGATGTTGTGGGGAAGTGGAAGAGCCTAAGACAGGGAGGTAGGGGTGATACACCCAAATATGACAGCCCGGGGGCTTTTTGCCTTCCTTTCTTGGACAGATGGGCACAGAAACATACCCAGAAACTAGCCAGCCACCAGGCTCTGCCCTGGAAAAAAAAATAAATAAAATAAAAAATAAAAAAAAACATGGCTTTGGCTTGTTAAGAGGCTGATAGGACTGGGTGAAAGCTTGGAGATAAAGATTTTCAGGGGAAAGAGTGAAGTGCCACATTTATCCAGGGCTTTTGCACCTCGTGATGGAGAAACATCAGCAGAGCTTCAAACGGTTGGAGGGGGGCACAGAGCATCCCCTACATGGTCCCAGCGGCGTGGGTTTGTTGCAGGAGAGGGACTGGAGAGGGACCAGGATCACCTTCAGCAGACGAAAACCCCATGCAACAAATACCCAGGCCACCAAAGGAGAAGCAGCCGGGTCCCACCACGCCACCCAGGGCTGCAGGCGAGGACGCGGGCGGCGAGCGCACGTCCCCGCGCCCCCTCCAAGAGCAAAGCCCACATCTGCAGCGGGGGCGGCTAATGAATACAAACGACCGCCCCGTGCCCCGCCGGGGGGTCTTTAACACTTCACACGTCTCGGTGACGTTGAGCGATCATCTCCCAAAACCCGGCTCGGGCAGCCCCTCCGTCGTCCCACGGCGCGCGGCGCGGAGATGAATGACCGCCGAGGAGCCTCGGCCTCGCACTAATTTTTCATCCACGGCGTTGCTCAACCTTTCGTGAGCAAATCCGATTTCCCCGACGCTGGCCCGGGCGCCGTACCTGCATTAAGTATTGCTGGGTCAGGGAGGGGCAGCCGTGATTGATGCCTTCTCCCCGCTAATCGGATTGTGGGGCAGGCAGATATTGATGGGTGCCTGCCTTTGATCCATGGCTCTCGTGAGCCCTCATTCAATTACTGCCCCGCAGAATGCAATTAGCAGGGCCGCCAAGCCACGTGGGCCTCATAATCCCGGCTCGCGGCGAAGATGAAGAGGCTGTCACCGGGAGGAAGGCTGCCTGGGCCCTCCTGGGGAGCGGATGCGCCACCAGGCACTCGGACAAAACTCTGGGGTGCACCGGGGAGGAAAGCAGAAAAAGTCCTGCTTCCATTCAGCGGTCCCACGCGGTGCTCCCACACCCTCGCCCTCCTTGCCAGCCGCCCTCAGCATCCTTCCCCTCTCTCAGCTTTGTCTCCTAAGCCGCGTTACTCACCCCATGCCCCAGTTTCACACCCCAAATCCGGTTGCTCCACCTCCCACCTCTCCCTGCCCACGTTTCTTGCCCTGCCCGTAACGCTCGGTGCTCGTGCTCCTGGCCCTCGCCCATTCCCCTGCCAGGAGAGGTTCAGCCCCTCCCCAGGCTGCTCCCCCACTACCACCCGGGCTGTTTGCTCCTCTCCCTCCTCAGACCATTTCTCTACTCCGCATCCTCTTGCACTCTCCAGGCACGGGATGCCAGCAGCTCCTACCAGATTTCCTCCTCCTCTTTGCCTTTTAAGCTCGCCACCCTGCAAGCACCAAGTCCTGGGGGTCCCCCTGCCCACCCCCTGCCCTGCTCTCGGAGGTTGGAGGAAGGCTCCCAAAGCTGGACACGTTCTCTCATCCACCTCTGGAGATCTCCATCCTGCCAGAGCTGCCTTTGACCCACGCCAGGAGAAATCTGGCAAGCCCTCAGCACCGCAGCACCAGCAGGGACGGTGGCGATGCCAGTGGGGAGAGCTGCACAGGCTCAGGGAGCAGTGCGAAGGCAGAAGGCTGGCATCTGCTGGTGCAAAGCCCTTCAGATCTGAGGGACCAGCCAAGGGAAGGAGCTGGATGTGCTGCTCACTGCTTGCAACAAAGCAATTTTGGGGACCATGGTGTCTGGGGATACTTTTTGATGCCCCTGCGCCTCCCCGTCCTGGGCACCCCTTTGGTGCGCACACATTTTTGGTTCACCCTGTAGAAGGAGGAGAGGGTTGGGTTGGAACAGGGATGGGAAATGCAGCCAGAAAGTGGAGAGGAACAAATACAGGGAGCTGCTGGGCTGTGCTGGGCAGGGAAAAGCCCAGGTGGGAAGGGAGCGAGATTTCTCTGGTGAAGAACAGGAGCTGGTAGAGAAGCGAGGGCAAATTGGCCACGCGTAAACACCAGCGGGGCACAGCTTGGAGGATCCCAAGCACCCGAGAGGTGAGATGCTGGGTGGCCTTTGTGGGTGTCCCCAGGCAAAAATGCTTCGCTCATTCCCATTTGGGGCAGCTCGAGGGTGGACGCCTACCTCCAACCTGGGTCAGGAGCCAGTGAAGATGAAGGGACGTCAGGGCCACCTTTATCTGGCCCTCCACTGCTCTTGGGAAGGTTGCTTGGGAAGGTTTTGCCTCCGCCAGCAGCCTCCAGCCTCCACCCAGACGCAGAATTCAGTTATCACCAAGGTTTTCTTCCTTGTTGCCCTTTGCTGCAGTTCTCCGAGGAGCTGAATCCCAAACCCACAAGCAACCACAAGCCGGGAATTTTTTTTCCTCCCCGTTTTCATCAAGGCAGGGAAGACAGATACTTCTCAGCAGCTACGTCTGAGCATTTATTTCCTTCTGTCTCTGTCCCTTCTTGCCTTCACCTTGGTTTACCTCTTCACCTCCTTCCTTGATGAGGTTGGCTGAGGTTGCAGGAAAGCGGAGCTGTCAGATCAGCCTGTCTGGAGCCCGTGGGATTTTCCTCCTTTAGCTGCAGCACCCAGCAGTGGAGCTGCCACGGGGCAGGGAAAGGACAGAAACGAGACCCCACCAAGCTGGGGGGCTGCTATCTGCTCACATCCCACGTGCAGGACACTCACCAGGCTGAATCTTCAACCTCCCTGGCATGGTTTTGTGTTATTTTTTTTCTGGTGTTCCCCAAGGAATCCGGCACAGACTGAGCATCCCTGGGTTTTGAGCAGGGGACCCACTCCCCCAGAGCAGGCTGGGGCTGTTTTGGGGTGCTTTTGATCCCTGTGTGCACGTGGAAATGCTCTCGGCAGAGGTTTAGGTAAAAAGGAGCACCGGGGAGCGCTTCCCCTCCACGCTGCACCGAATTCACACGCAGGACTCCCTGCCACAGGACACGACGGAGGCCGGATGGGATAAACGGATTAAAAAAGGGTTTTCGAGGAATTTGTGGAACACAATCGCAGCAGCCCCCAGGCAGCCCCGGCTCCTTTTACGCAGCTGCTGCTTTCCAGGAGGGAGCCCCCCAAATCTTCTCCTCCTCCACCATCCTCCTGAGCCTTTCCATCACCCTCCCCATCGCCCCAATGGGGGCAGCACCCCCGGATAGCCCCGGCTCGGGGTGCTCGGGGTGCTCGGGGTGCCCCGGCTGAGGCTGCTCCTCTGGGTAGCTCCCCGCTGAGATTTCCCAGTTGGGCAGTTTTTAATTAGTGCGCGTCACGTTGATTTTGTATCACTTTAATTTCCTCATCAGCGTGCCGCGCGGCACCAAGGCAAACGGCTCGCAGAAACCCAAGCCCCCCCCGCACGTTTGGTGCCAGGGCCGGGAGGCATTTGGGGAATCCAATACCCCAACGCGGTTAGGGCCAGAAAAAAAAAAAAGAAAAAGAAAAAAAAAAAGAAAAAAAAAAAGAAAAAAAAAAGCTAATATAATCACGGAATTGCAAAGGATGATAAATACCATGAAAGAAAATATGCAACGGGAGCGGGAAGAAAAGATTTCCCATAGAAGCCTAATGCAATCCCCCCTCCGCCTTGATGAAGTGCCTATTATCTCTGCTCTGCCCTCCAAATCTTAATTCCTGCTCAGGATTACTTTCCCCATCTGCAGACGTAGATGCAATCAATGAGAGCAGAACACGCATTCCTGGGAGGCGGCTACTTATTCAGCGCGAGGCTTGGGTTTAATCATGCTTGTTTATGGTAGAGGCCAATTAAAACAGCCACTGAATTAGGCAAAAATTGGCCTGAGCCCCCGGCATGCCAACGCGGCGCAGGGTATGGGAGCCGGCGGTCCTTCGGGGGTGGATTTCCCAGGACAGACCCTAAAACCAGGCGGGTCCAAAACCTTTGCTGGCTGCACAAAAGGGGTGTTGAATTCCGTCTTTTACAGGATTTGGGATTTTTTTTTTTATTTTTTTTTTCTGGATGCAGCCAGAGAGGGCAAGGCAAAGGGGTGCACAGAGCCAGAGCGAGCACAGGCACTTAGGCAAACAGTTAAATGCTGTATTGTTTAATGGCAGTTACAATAGGATAAATGTACAGTCGGAATCAACATGCTAATTTCTAACGCGATTTAACCTGTAAACCATGCAGTCCGTTTTTATTTTATTTTTTAACCAGTCCGTCTTTTTCTCGTTGTTGTTTTTTTTTTTTTAATCAGTAGCTCTGCTAGTGAGTTGTAAGGAAAAACGAAAAGAAAAAAAAAAAAAAGTTCCCTTTAAAGTTAAACCTAATTTACTAATTTTTCCCCTTATTGTGCAACGACTTGTGCAAAAAAAGCTGTTTTCACCACATTAGTTTACAAACCCACGCTCTTCCCCCCCTCCGAGATGAGAAAAGGCAACGCAAGCAGCCAGCGGGCACCGAGGGCTTGGGGTTGGGGAGGATGGAGATTCAGGAGGGGGCTCCTCCCGAAATGATGGTGGGATTCCCAAGGGAGGCACACGCAGGACCCTACGGAAATTGGGGTGCTCCCAATTTCTGTACCCCCAGGACTCATCCCGAGCACCCCTCATCTGGTGTTTTTGGGGCGAATCCTGCCCCAAATCTCTTCCCTCGAACGCGCAACTCGCCCAGCTCGCCGCACGGACGGGTCCATCCTGAATTCGTTTGTGCCCAGATTTATTTTCAGGTCGCATGCCCTTCAGCCCCCCCGTGAAGTTGCATTTGGGTGCATTTGGGGGGTGTACAGGGCTTCTGCCCCCCCCGAGGCTGAACATGCAGCAGGGTGGGCGCTGGGTGCTGCAAACCAGGCGATGCTCCGAAAAGCACCAAACCAGACCTAAAGGGAAAACCACAGAGGTGCGAGAGAGAGGTAGGAAACCAGGGACAAGGATTCCTCTGCTCAGGGGGGGGGATGAGATGAATGAGATGATGCCAATGGGGGCACCAAAAAGGGGACACAGGTGGGAAAAGGAGCCCAAAGCTCCCACATGGCCAGGCTGCTCCTGTCTCCATCCCAGGGGCACGAAGCAGCCACCCCAAAATGCTGCATCCCCCCCCACCCCGGGGCAGCTGCTCCCCATTGAGCCCGGGCTCGTGGCCGGATTTCGAACAAAGTGCAAAAACTGCCAAGAGCTTCGGCCTCCAACCCCAGCCCTAGGAAAAGAAACAGAAAATGTCCCGTTCTCCCTCGTCCACCCCGAGGCCATCCCCTTCATTCGGTGCTCCAGCTTCGTGCCTTGGAGAAGGCAAAAAAAACCCTTCCTGCGACGCACAGCCCCTGCAGCTGGTGAGGAAGCTGAGATGTGGGCATGCTGCTCAGCAAGGCGAGCTTTTGATATTTTTTTCAATGATTTTTCTTTTTTTTTTTAACGATTTTCTTTTTTTTTTTATTATTTTTTTCCCACTGGTGCTGAAATCCGTTTGCCAGGTTGGGATGGAGAGGGAGGCTAACCCGGGCTTTTCTACAGCCACTGCTTAAAAAAAAAAATAAAACCCTAAAGGATGAGCAAGGTATGTACACGGGGTGTTAATAGCAGCATTGTTGGCTCCGGGGGTTGCAAAGCCACGGTTGCCTCCCCCCACGTTATAAATTTCTAGCAACAACCCTTCCCTCGTAAGCAATACCATCCGTAGCGGAGGATACCAGTCATTAGCAGGAGATTTAGAGGGGATTTGAAACGTCTTCCAGGGCTCCTTAAGCAATCTGTTTAAAAGATTAATTTTATTTTGAAGGGATGGAACAGCATCTCTCGGAACAAAAAGTTAATTAGGACCAGAGCCCCGAAATTCCATTTTTCATCTCCGTTATGTGACTTGTGGTTAGGTGCTTGACCTCCCGAAATCAGAAACTCCCTGCATCTCCCCGTGGCCGGGCTGGGCTTTCCCAGAAGCGAGTCCCAGCCCCAAATCGAGGTCTCGCTCCGAGCCCCGGTGGCTCCGGGCTTTGCGTGCAGACCCCAGAGCCGCCTTGCACAACGCGATGCCGGAGCCGCTCCTTGGGGAAAAAAACCTGGATTTTGGAGCCAGCAGCGGGAGCTTTTCCCGGTGCTGCTCCTGGCCACGCGGGGAAGGAAAACCATCAGCGCTGCAACGGCACCGCCTGGCCCGGCGGCGAAGTCGGCGGCTGACAAATGCGATTAAAAATTGTGTTTGACAACCTATCCTCCCCCTAATAAAAACTGGAAATGCCGGAGTGCTTTATTTGTCGTGCTCGCTGATGCTCGCTGACGCTGTTGCCAGCATCTGTAGCAGCTCGTGATTGCGAAGAGTTTTTTTTAAAGTGCTTGTTACCGCTGAAGGGCCCTCGGCGCAAGTGCCCCGTGGATGGAAGCTCCCCCTGCTCCTGCCACCGCCTGGTTTTGGGTTTTTCTTGCTAGCTCTGGCCTCTGGAGAGCTCTGCGTAAAAGGCTGAGGCAGGGCTGATGCTGGAACCACCTCGCACTCCTGTCCCTGCGCCTCCCATCACATCGGCACCGCCGGGTGATGGGGAGGAGGGACAGAGCGCCCCGAGGTCCTGCGAGTTGTGGGACGTGGAGGGCTGGGAGCTCTCCCTCTTCCCTTTCTCAGCTGTGAAGGATTTGGGGAGCAGGAAAAGGGGTCAGCAGCGGGGTTCATCTTCACCTGTCCCTGCCTGGAGAAAAAGCCTTGGCTGGGCTGCACGCAGAGGTGTCTGCAGAGCTGATCCCTTTCTGGCCACACCGAGCTGCTCCCTTTTCTTCCAGCCTTCAAAGAGGTGTTAAGACAAAAATCCCCTCCGATCCCCCCCCCCAGAAAGAAAGGAGTCATGAAATTAAGGTCCAGCATTTGCTCTTCCCTCCCGTTCACGAAAATAATCCACCGGTCCTGGAGGGCTGTGATGGGGGGAGAAACTGCCTGGCTGAGCTTCCACCTGCACTAATTGGAGTCCAAATGGTAATGAAAAGATAAAGGAAGAATTCCCCTCTCTGTAACCTGAACCCCAGGGTCCTCCGAGGCTGCCCTGATGTACGGGCACCTCCGGAGCAAAGAGGAGAGTTTTGCCCCCAGGCACTTCAGAGCCGGGGTGCTGGGCGCTGTGGTGCTGCTCTGGGGTCACCTCCCACTGCCAGAGTTTTGGGGACACCCAGGAGGCTCCCGTTTGTCACCCTGGGGAGCTTGTGAGGCTGCTCCGAGCCAGAGAGCGCATGGGAAGTGGAGGGACATGGCACCAGGGCAGCAGGAGAGGGGAGATGGGGAACCAGCATGGGTAAAAGGTACAGGGAGAGGAAGAGCTAAGCTCCAGGATCACCCCACACACCGGGGAGCCCGATCTGCCCGCAACCCCAGCGGGTTTCCCTCCTGGCACCGTGCTGGACACAGCAGCAGCACCCTGGTGCCATCCCAGCCCCGCAGGGCACCCCGCAGGCTCTCCCTCTTCCCATCTATCCAACCTTTTACAACCCTTTTCCATTCAGTGCAGGTCCAAAAGACAGATCCTAGAGGCAGAGCTCAGGGTGCATCTGCTCCCTTGCAGCCCCACGGGAACGGGATACGGCTCCCCGCGAGCCACCTGAAACCGGGGTGGGCATCAGCCCCTACAGGAGGAGGAGGCGAGAGGCTGGGGGATCACTTTGCCTCTCTTCCTCCAAAAACCCAATCCGCACGTTGGCAAGCGAGCGAGTGACCCTCTTTCTAACGCGTGCTCCTTTCACCGGAGCCCACGAGAAGAACCTGAAACCGCGACTCCTCCCTATATTTTTTTTTGTTTTCGCTTGTTCTGCAACTGAATAACTTAACAAAAGGAAGTCAAACCAATTCTTTGAATTTGGCTTACAAAAAAAAAAAAACGAAAAAAAAAACATAGTCTGGGTGTGAACTTCTCTTTCAGGCTTTACCGTCCCTTTACAACCCCCTGAAAATAGGAGCTTGGAACGGAGACTCCTGCCGGCACCCTCGCTGCCCCAGCACACAGGCAGCGCTGCCTCTCTTCCCCGGGATTGCTTAGCGAGGAACGTTTTGTCAGGAGGGTAGGTCTCATGGATTCTATACAGGCGAATAAAAAAATACAGATATATTCTCTTTGAACAAGGATCCCAAGTCCAGGCGTGTGGAAGGCTGCGGTGCAGGGACCGGCGCGGCGCGGGTCCCGGAGTGCGGTGGCCCTCAGGAGTGGTGGCTGTTGATGAGGCTGCGGAGCTGCTTGGCCACGGTGTCTATCAGCTTCTGCTTGTCCCGCTCGTTCTTCCGAAACTGGGCGAAAACGTTGTTCTTCCTGCTCGTGTCTCGCATCCTGCGCAGAGCAGAAACAGTCGGGTTACGGCACGCGCGGCGCCGCGCCAAGCCCCGCGAGCGAAACTCCGGGGAAGTTCCCCTGCTTGGAGGTGACTGCACCCACGGGGTCTAGCCCCAGGTTTTGTGTAAAGATGGGCACACCGAGCCAGGGAAAGCTTTGCAAGGTTTGTATTTTTGGTTTCAACCCTGCTGGTTCCAGCCCACATCAGGGTACCCGTCCCTAAAGCCAACCGCTGTGATAACCCCGAGTCCCTAATGCCTCTTGTCCTCCCCTTCTGTCTCATTACGTGGCAAATGACAGTGCTGGAATATTAGGAGGGTCAGGAAATGAACTAAAATAGCATAAAATCCACATCGTTTGCAGTTCTGATCTGAAAAGGTGCATTGCATGCGGCCAGAGATGCAGCTCTGGGGGCAGCCGTCAAGTTTTGAAACAAAGAGCTGTGAATTAACGCACGGCACAGCCTTCGAGGAAGGCACCCAGCACTAATTTATAAATCTTGAGATTTGTGTGGGTTTTTTTTAATCACATCCAATACCCAAAGTAGCACACTGGTCTCCACAAGGTCCCCAAGACCGAAGAGGCAGAGAACAGAGCAGCCGGCGGCGGGATGCGCCCAGGAGGCGAAGCCGGTGCAGCTCCATTTCTCTCCGGCATGCAAAGCTCGGGACTCATGCACGCTGGCATTCACAGATGCATCTTTTTTTTTGGGGGGGAAAACATCTCGTTACGCAGTTCAAGCGGGAGCTTTGTGCAGGCAGGGCATGTGCTGGGAAGTGAAACCACCCTGCGAGGGTCAGCCGTTCACCCGAGCAGCAGCAGAGCCCGAAGGCAGCAGCAGGCTCCCGACATCCAAGCCGCTGGCTGAGCGCTGGCACTGCTCTTTGTAACACCACAATTTGTAAACGATTTTCTCGGTGAATCAGATCTGGCAAAGGCAGATGGCTTTGGACGAGTCGCCTAAGCCTGTGTTTTCGGCTAGGGGTGCCTAAATGAAGCCTTAAGGTGATCGGGACACGGAGATGGCAGTCCCTGGAGAGCTGGCGGTTTATCAAAAAGGGGCTCGAGTCAGCTGAGCACGAAACAAACCCCTTCAAACTCATGTAACCGATTAAAAAAAAAATATCTCAGATTTTTCATGCTTCAGTCTCCCTAAAAAGAGCCAAAGGGAAATCTGAAATGTTCCAAAAAACATCCAGCTTGGAACTGAAAATAAGGATAACAACCTTATCCCAAAGGCTAATTTGCTAACGTTGTAAGTGCCCAAAGACACAGGATTACAGCCGAGCTGCTTGCCCAACAGTAACAAGATAGCTTGGAGCAATTTTCTTCAGCAAAATAAGTACTTTTTTTTCTATTATTATTTTTTTTTTTTAAGCAAAGCAGGTCGCCAGCTGCTCCACTGCAGGAACCAGGCAGCAGCCGCGCTGCCAGGAAGCAGGGTTTTGAATCAAACAGGTCAGAGGTGCTGCAGTACCAGGAATTTAGGAAACACCCAGCCTCACGCAGGACATCGATTCCCCCTGCAGCTCCTCAAAGCACCTTCCCGAGAGGGCTGGGAGCTCCGTTCCTATTTCACGGGTTACTCAGGGACATCAGACGTGCTGCAAGCAAACCTTGTACCTTGGGAAACCTCCACCCAGGGCCATCCATCACTGCCTGCCGCAGGGAGCTCGCAGCAAAAAGCACCGAGGTTCTGCCTCGGTAATACCCACAGGTAATGCGAGGGGAATTCACAGACAGCAGAGCATCCTCTGCCTTACAGCCCTCATCCCGGGCAGCTTTTATCCTCGGAAGAAAGCTTTTATCCTGGGATAAAAGCTCGGGGGGGAGCCGCTCAGATGTAGATTTATTTCCACGAAATGCTTGGAACAAAGCGCCGGGCTGTGCGCGAGGAACCTTTTGGGCGTGCTTCCTGCCCAGGGGGGTTTGGACGACTGGGATGGAGCTGCAGGGATAAAGCAACTGCATCGGGGTGCACAGCTGGAGCACGTAGGGCTGTTTTCAGTGCACTGATCCCGTCCTGATCCCGCTGTGCCCGAGTGCCTGGCAGGGACAGGAGGTATCTCCGGGCACCGTGTGGATGTGGAGCACGAAGCTGTGAGCAGCTGGATTTCCTTAGCGAATTATCTTGCCTGCAGAACATCAAATCCTGGAAAAACTAAGGGTGTGTGCTTCCCAGTGGGGCATTCCCCTCCTACTCCCAAATATCCCATGTATGCACACAAGGTGGGATGGCTCCTCTCTATAAAGAAAAGGGCGACAAAACCGCCAAGTGCCAACCCACCCTGCGGAGAGCTGCGCAAGCCCTGCTGGCAGGGAGCAGGACTGAAATGATGGGAGCAGAACTGAAATGATTGGGGTAGGACTGAAGGAAAGGGTATTTGCTCAGGGCTCAGGGTGCTCGCTACCTCCCCCAGGCTCAGGGTGTTCACAGAGCAAGCCCGTGCCTGCCGGGGACGGTGCAGGCGAACCCTGGAGCTGTAGGTCCAAAGGGTGTTTCTCTGGGTGAGGGTGTCAGCACGCGAGGCTCCCACTTGTGTTACTGCAGAGGTTTAGGGGCACAGAGGCAGTCTGGATGGAGAAACACCCTTCCACCAGCCAGGCTTATCCCACGCCACCCTAAATCAGCACTGGGGTTTGGGTTATGAATTCTTTTCCCCTTCTTTTCCAGCCCTGAGCCATAGGAAGCGCCTGGGCTGGAAGGCACGGCCCCAGATAGAGCTGTGCATCCCGACGCCAAGAGTATCAGGTTGGAAACAGAGAGGCAGTGTTTTCCAGCAGCTCCGTGGAGGATTGACACTTTTATTCCTTTAAGCGTGTGCCTGCAGAGCCCTAGGAGAAGCGAGCCCGGTTTTATAACGTGGTCCCTGTGTGTTGGCCCCAGAATTAGAAGTAAGAGGAAGGGAAAGAGAGAGCTCAATGCTGTCCCCACCCCTGTCAACAAACACCGCCTTCAATAGAGCCAAGCTTTGTTTAAATTAATCTATAAGAAAGAAAAAAAAAAAAAAGCAACGCAGTAAAAGCTCCTCTTTTAGTTCTAATTAGTGCATTTGAGCCGATAGAGTTACCGGAGGGAACCGTTTCAAAGGCAGCTTGCATTTAGATCATTTAGTGCTCCATTTAAACCAAACAATAAAGTCACTGCGAGGTGAGGGTAAAAGCCCAAGCAAGCAGCATACTTACACTCGTGATATCCTACGAGAGATGTGTGATTAGGAAAAGAGATAATCATGAGAACAAGTTAAAAAAAAAAAACAAAAAAACCAAAAAAAACGCATGAGCGGATCAGAATTTCACGGCGCCCTGGCGGCAAAGCTCAGCTACGTGCGGAGGGGGCCGGGGAGCTGCTCCCGACGTGGGGACAGGAGGGGATGTGCCTAAAGCTGGCGGCTGGCTCTGTGCAGAGACCTGGGGGCGATGGTTGGAGGCTCCCCAAAAGGTTTGGAGTCCGACCAGGGAGAGGGAAGAGCCTGGAGCAGCAGGCGGGCAGTGCCGGGGGTGCTGCGCCGTGGGCATGCAGGTGCCAAGGTGGTGACTGCAGCGGGGCTGGGGGTGGGAAGCAAAGGGGCTGCACCTGGTCACCCTTAAAATGAGTTTTTTTTTCTAGGAAAAGGCTGGCAAGCCGAGCTGGGGCTTGTGGCCTTTTAATGACACCGCTGAGAGCACGATCCAGTGCTACCTGGGGTGATGGCACGGGAATGGGGGATGAGCTCACACCTCGCTGCTGCAACCCCATCTGGCTGTCTGTATCCAGCCCTCTGGTTAGGTTATTCTGCCTGCTTCATGCCCAAACTTTCTTTTTTTTTAAAATTTTTATTATTATTTATTTTTTATTGCTAGCTCTGAATATACTGCACAATTTCCATCACGGATGTGGGGTTGCAAACGTGTCGCAAATAATACAACACCTTGCACAGCGCATATAAACGCATATAAAAATAATGCTGTAATGTCTAAAAGTGCTTTACACACACCAATTATTTCATTTTTGTCCCTGTGTATGAGACTGATATCACTTGGATGCTGTGAGTTGCTGTGAAAGTGGCTGCTCTCATCCATGGGAGAGGAGATGGGGCAGTTATGTGGACTGCAGACAGATGCAGCTACAAAGCTTCGAAGCCACCAAGTTCAGCCTTCTAAAGGTTTAAGTCCAACTCTGAACTGGTGATCTTCTCCAATACGTGCAACAGAGAAAGAGAGGAATTCCAAAAACCAGCTCGAATTCAGCCCAAGGATCTGATTTCATGTTAAACCCGGACAAATCTAACTGCAAGCATCTGAGACCTACCGATGGAGTGGCCATGGCAAAAGCTGCTTGGATTATTAATCATTTCTTGATGATTACTGATTACATTTCTTGATGATTACTGATTTTGCAGGGCTGATGCCCTGCAAAAGCTTTGCTTGCACACACACTCCTGGGGCTCAGATTTACCCTTGGCAGGGGTCCTGTCCTCCCTAAGAGCAAGCCTTGGAGCTCACGGCCACCTGGAGACACTGTCCCTGTCCCACAGCTGGGCTTTTAGCACGTGTTTTTTTCCACAGAACCACAAAACAGAGCAAAATGGGGCTGGAAACGTCCCGGGGTGCCCGGGCCCACACTCACTTTTCCAGCAGGACGAGGGCCGTGGTGGGGTTCACCCGGAGGTACTTGCACGTGGGTTGCCCGTAGTCAGCCAGGTACGTCGACCAGTCCCACTGGATGAACAGATCCAGGAGCTGCAGGAGAGGCAGGGAAAGAAAAACAAACGGATTTTAAGGAGCTGGCGAGCGAGCAGGTGGTTTATCGGGAGCCTGGCAAAGAGCCTGGGCAGGTGGTGTGAACCAAAAAAGCCGTGTTCTGCAGCAATTACCTCCTAGCCATAAAGCCTGCTGCATTACTGATATTTTTGGGAAGAAACGGAGGCACAAAGGATGTGCGTGAGGGCTGAGACACCCCCAGGAGGTCGGTGGCAGAGCCAGAAAAAGAGCCCGAGCACCCTGCTGTGCTTCAGAAGGAGGGCACCTCTGTGCTTGAAGTCACCACAATTTTTTTTTTGCCCCCAGATAACCAGCAGCTGCATTCAGACGGTGCCACGAGGATTTCTCACCCCGCCCGCTCCCCTTTCCTAGCATCTTCCAAGTGCTCTGTACACGTCCCCAGTGACTGCAGCTCCCCAGGGACACATCGAGGAGCTCGGTGGTTTATCCGAGGTGAGCTCAGCCACCGAAGGAGACCCAGGTGGTTTCCAGACATTCATTAGAGGAACCGCTGCCGTCCCGGACTGCCGCGGGGCAGGCAGGAGGTAGAGGCAAGTCCTGTGGTAACCCTGCTCCAGCCCTCAAAATCCACACCTGAAGCTGTCCGTCTCCACAAAGCAAACCCGAACGCACCGGGCACGGACACCTAAAGCCCTCCCCGAGCTGGTTTGGGTGGGGAATGAGCCAAAAGTCCCCTGGGTGTCCCCACGGGGGCACAGCGGAGGACGCGGAGGCGCACCGCGCGCACCCCAGCCGTACAAAACATGTTCATTAGGAGCTGCTGTGTTTCCTCCCCATCCTCGAGCCTTTCGCCCCGGAGAGCTGCTGTGACTGCTCTATTGCAGGACAGGCTGCCAAAAACGGGGACATCTTCATCTCCCATGGCTGGGCGTCCTGGTGGCCACCCCGAGGAGAAGGGCCCCGCTATTCCGTCCCCAGGCGAGGCGAGGGCCATAGAGGGCTCATTGTGCCCCCGTCTCCATGGTGTTCCTGGAGGCTCCGGCACTGTTTAACAACACAGCCCGCCCTGCAAAGACGGGGATTTGGCTCCTCGAAGACCTCGAGGTCCCAAACAAAAATGGGCAACAAGATTCTTTTTGACTATGTAGGTCAGAGCAAAGAAAACAAGCTGTCGGGAACAATCCCCCGCGCTGGCGGGGGGGACGGATTAGCCGGGACCTCAAGAGGGCTTTTCCAGCCCCTGGTCCCGCTCGGCTTTGTGCGGCAGGTCAGATCTGGAGCCCTTTGTGCCAACTACAAACCGGGGCTGAACATCATCGGCGGGGAGTTTTTCTTCCAAAGGGCACCTTAAAAGCCCCAGCCCGGGATAGGATTTCACGTGCGCCTTTCACACGGCGCAGCGGGGCCAAAGCTCTTCTATCGGGTTTGTTTGCTGCTCCGGGAAGGGCTGTACGGGCTCAATGCCTTCCCCCAGCCCATCAGAGTCCTTTCGTTGGCAGTCTGGGGGCTGAACGTGCCCTTAGCAAGCCACAGGCAAGGAATCACAAGTTATTTCTGCAGAAAGTGCATGGCCGGACCGTCCAGGGACCAGGTAGCAGCTCATGGGGTTGGAAATAAAATCCCAGAAGAAAGGGACCAAAGAAAAAAAAAAAAAGAAAGAAAAAGAGAAAGATTAGAAGTGGGCTATGGGAAGATTTGAATAAAGCAGCCTGAGGAGCTGTTATAAACAGCACGGGGAGGCAGCGGGGGCACAGCAGAGGCTTGGGGAGCTCTACAGGAGCAGAGGATGGTTGAGGGCAGGGCTTGCACAAACCTCTCGTGGACATCTCTGAAAGACAGAAATTCAGCACTGGGGTAGCGTAAGGCAGAAGTGGAACGAAGAGACATCTAGGACAGCTTGCTCCCCAGCTCAGGAGCCCGAGCTGAGGTTTGCTGATCCCACCGAGCCTGGTGACGGGTGGCCGGGATGGCGCACGGCCCAGGGACGAGCCGTGGTGGAGCAGGGCTGGGCTTCATCTCCGCTTCCATGCCAGCTCCTGGGGCTGGGTTGAAGCAATTCAGCCACCATGGATGAGGCTGAAAATTTCAGCAGGTGCCCTCTTCTCCCCGTGCCATGCTTGGGTGCTCGAGCACATCACCAGCAGGGTCGACGCTGAGCCACGTCACCCACACCGCTGGGACCTGCCTGCGCTGGGGGCACGGCGCCTTTGCTCACCCTGCCATTGCCCTGATGGGGTGATGGGGGAAGATGTTTTATCCTAATCTCATTTTTCACCCAGTTCAGGTATCTCCAGGTGCACGCACAGCTAAAACAACAAAAAGAAAGCGCAGAAACCCAGAAACCCAGCAAATAATCACCATCCTAAACCCAAACCCGCCCAGACTGCACCTTCCCCGTGTGTCCAGAGAGCCACACTCCCAAAAGCTGGCTGCTGACACTGACGGATAGCCCGAGGGTGTTACAGCTGTTGGCCCGCATCGATCTTGCTGGCAAGACAGGACCGAGGATGCTCGGGGCCGAGCTCAGCACCCCTGGTGCTTGCAGGGCTCTGCCGCAAGGCGCGCGGCAGAAGCGGGCTGGGGCTGGGGGGGAGAGAGGTCCTGCAGGAGGAAGCCTGCACGGCTCGGGGAGAGCTGTCTCAAAACGATTTATCTGTCACATAAATGTGGTTTTATTGGTTTTACTGTTTCAACTTTTCACCTCTGCTGCTAAATCTGAACGACACCGAAAAAAAAAAAAAAAAAAGGAAAGGAAAAAGTGGCTGCACGGCGGCGCTGGGCAGCAGTGGCCTTCCAGGGGAGATTCCAAATAAAATATGCAAATACCATTAATTCTTCAAACCAGAGTCTGCTTCTCGAGGCTATAAATCAAACTCGACAGCACGTACGCTGGGGGAAAGGAAAAGAAGAGGGGAAGAAAGAAAAAGGAGCTTGTGCTGCGCTACGGGGAAGTGCCCTGAGAGCTGCGGACGTGCTCGGGGCCGGCTGCACCCACGCGGCTGCCCGGGGAGCACATTTTCCACAAGAGGTGTCCGTGTTTTTTTTATAAAAGAGGAGAACGGCTCGAGTAGGGCTCCAAAAGAAAGGTAGTGGAAAAAAATCTGTTTTTATACAGGCGCAGACACATACAGAAAACCACAAGCAACACAGCTGCGCCGGGAACGCCCTCCCAGCGCCCCGGCACACACACTTTGCGCCTCCGAAACCAAGAGGAAACCAAGCCCAGGTGCTCGCTCACGTCCCCATCGCCACCGAGCAGGGTGGCGAGGACACGAAGGTGCACCAAAACCCAGCACCGCTGTCCCCAGGGACCCAAGGGAAAGAAGGAGCTGAGCTGGGAAGGCGCTCCTGCCACAAACTGCCCGTGGCGGGGGCAGAAAAGCACCTTTGGCTCACCTCCCGCAGTTCCCCCTCAAAAAACGCTTCCTTTTCACTTCCCTTCTATATCACCGGCTCAAAGTCTTCAAAGAAATAGATTTTTTTTTCAAAACAGAGGCACGTTTTTCATGTCACCTACAGGGAAAGGATGCGCTGGTGGCCGAGGGATTTGGGGCACGGCGGGGGCTCTGCACGCTTCTCCCCCGGGTGCAGAGCGGAGAGGGGCAGCGTGCTCTGTCTGACAGGAGACAGCAGCACTGAATCTGGATAAACTTCTTTCAGCCAAGCCAGAAATAACGTAATGTGACTCCAAACTGATTCGAAGCACAGTTTGGAAGCTTTGCCAGCGCCCCTGGCATGAGGATAAAGCAAAGACCGGCACTTCGCGCTTGTGCCGGAGTCACCGTGGGCTCTGCACGGACCTGGGAGGTGATGCCTGGTGGCCAGAGCGCACGGAGATGGCAGGAAGGGGAGATCCACGCCTTCCAAGGTGAAAAGCAAGGTGCTAAAGACTTGTCCTGTCTCCAGAGAGGTCGAGAGGATGCTTCAGGGTTGACTCGGGACATGGGACCCTTCTGGCCCTGAGGATCTGTCCCCACCTCTTCCCCTTCCACAAGCCCACGACACAAAGGCCAGGTGTTATTCCAGGACAGGTGGGAATTCCTGAATTCCCTGGCCTCATGCAACACCTGGCTCTTTTAATTCTTTTTCTTCTCATGAACTGATGGTGCAGCACCCCCGTGAGCATCCACAAACAGGGATTTGCAGCCAAACGCTTCTGACCTGCAGGGAACTGCCACTTGAGATGCACCAAATGCTCCGGGCTCATGGAGAAAGCTGCTGGAAGAGGAGAGCAACTGCCCCCTAAACAGCAAACACGGAGGGAAGAGCTTCCCAGGACAGCATCGCCTCGCCACGGGACACGATGCTACATCCACCGCAGCACGAAGCAAAGCATCAGAATTAGAAGTAAAGAGCAAGCGTCCAAGAGCAGAGCTGCTCCAAGCCACGAGGGCAGCCTGCAGGTCAGCCAGGAATGGAAACCAAATTGGCAGGCAAAGGTTTTGTTTTCCTCAATCCCCGCTGAAGGGACGCGGTTGTGAAAGAGACGTGCCTTTGGGTTCTGCGTGGCTCAGATGTGCTATCGCAGCCTCCGCTCTCACGGCTGCGTCGTGCAAAATGTACCCCAGCCCCGTTGCTTGTCGGCATCCCGGCTCTGCAGGGCCAAATTCATGCACAAAATGTCCTTATCTATAAAAAAAAAACACTGCCAGAGGTGAGCTGGCACAAGAGTTTTCATGGCGAGGCAGTAACCAGGTGGTGAAAGGAAAACCAACCCCGTCCTGAAGATGAACTCTTGTTTTATTTCAAGGTCTACAAACGCCAGCTTGATGCCCTTAATAGAGTAAAAATGCAGCATCCCAGAAACAAAAACCCCTTCTCCTCTTATCCCCTGAAATATTCACTCTCAGTGACAAGAGAGAGCACCAAGATGGTCTGAAAAGGATTCTCCTCTGCCATCAGAGCATCGCCACCACCTGAGAAGGCGCGAAGGCTGATAGGAAACATCTGAGAAAGCACCAAATCTCCCTGTAAGAAGCCTGGTTTGGGGAACTCTCACATGCCTGCTGCTCATACCCTTTTAATCCATTTCTCCCCACGCATCCATCCACTTTTCTCCACCAGGAATTGCAGCTTTCTGTGATGCTCGGGGCTCACGAGGTGCTCTGCAGAGCTCCTCCTGCCAGGAAAAACCCAAAGCAAGCGCTGTCAGCACGCACCAGGGGATGAAAAGGGAAGGACAACTCGTGACCATCAGCTGGCCCATCTTACAACCAGTTTGAACAACCTGAAGGGCAATTAGCCCGGATTTCTCCCAGCGAACCGAGCTAAAGGAACCGGAGTTAACCTGCTGCGTCTTCGGGCAGGAGCCTGGGTCGAGGTGGTGCCAGCAACGGGGGCGTGAGATTTTCCTTGGCGTGGGTTTTTGCAGGGGTTCAGATCAATGCCCAGGAAAGCAGCATGGAAGAAGTGGCTCTGCCACAGATAAAACACAAATTTATGTCTCCTGGGTGATGGGGACAGAGAAGAGCTAAAAGAGAGAGATTAAGAGAATGTTTTGGGGTTCCCAGCTGGAGGCAGAAGTCCTGCCCTGAAACCTGCCACCAGCCCATGCCCACAACCAGCAGATTTTGCTTTCTGGGGGGAGAAGGAGCGAATATTTCCAGCACCCAGCTGAACTCAGCCCTGCAAAGCTCTGTTAGCACGTCCCCTCCCGTCCCTTACAACCTCCAAGCCCGGTGCTCTTCCCCCCAGTACCCGGCTGTGGGCAGCGAGCGGAACAAACCGCCTTGACCAGCCAAGTTTCAGTTTGCAAGAAATCACACCATTCACAGAAAAAACCTTCCCAGAACTTGTCTTTAGAAACCTCCTTTCGGTGGCTCACCACCACAACCCCATTGATAGAGGAGACCATGAGAAGCTCAGCGCAAGGCAGCCCCCAGGTCCCACCCCAAATCCCACCCTAATAAAGGGTCGAGCCCCTTCCCGAGGGGCCAGAAAACACCCAGGGGAGACTCCTGGGTGCAAAAACAGGAGAAACTCCTGGATCCAGCCCGGTGCCAGCCCCAGTTTGCCCACCCCTAAGCTTGCCCATCCCCACCACCGGCCGAGCAGCCCCTACCGGCACCGAGTGGGGAATTGTTACCGAGCACAAAAAAACCCAAGGAGTTTCCAACATCGGCAGCCACACAGACAACTACATTCAAAATCATTTATTTTGGGGAGGTTTCAATTACGCCTCGTGGGAAAGGAATACTGAAAGAGAAAGAAATCCGCTAACCCGTCGGGAGACGGGGGTTTGGACAATGGCTTCGCGCAGAAGAAAAGGCACCAGGAATTGGAACATGATGTTTGCTCGGCAGCTCGGGAGAGACAGGGAGGGCAAAACCGTGGCCTAAATGAAAGCAGGAGGAGATTTCTCGGTGATTTCACTGGAAACTAAGATTTTCTCTAAGAAATGAGGGGTCCTTCAGGTCCCCTCCAGGTCCCCTCCAGGTCCTTCCTCCTCAGCTCTCAGGTTAAAGGGAGGAAAACCAGTGCCATGCTCCTCGTTTCCCATCTTAACTGGGTTTGTTTTTCAAGTCAAGGCAGCAATTTTATTTTTCCCTCTTCTGCTTTCTCATATCTGTAAAAGTGAAGCAGTTCTTGGAAAAAAAAAAAAAACAACCACGAGAAGAATCCAGGAAGATTTATGGCAGCAGGGACAGTGTGGAACAGGGAGGTTTGAGACTGACAAAGCCTTAATTTGGCCAGTCTGGATTATTTTTGGATCCGTATTATTGCCTGTTTATAGGTTTGCATTTCTCACATCGGATTTCCAGGGGAAGGTCTCCAGAAAGCTCTCCCCGTGTGTGCACAAAGGTCTTCTGGTTTTCCATCTGCAAATGTTCCCTGGATAGTAGGAGGAAAACCTCTGGCTTTCCAGCGGCTTTGAAGGAACGGTGCGATTGCATCGTTTGACTTTTCTGCTTTTTTAGAAGATATTTCTTCCAAAAGCCTCATTAAAAGCTTACAAACACACGGCAACGCTACCCAAAAGGTGCTGAGTTTCTGATACGAGCTCAGCTCTGCGCACATGGCAAAAAAAAAAAAATTAAAAAAAAAAAATTATATTAAAAAAATCCCTTTAGGGCTTAAAATGGTTTTCTCAGCCCGACCCCAAACCACACGAAGGAGCCACAAAACGCCGTTGGACTTCAAGAGAACTGATGCAAAGCAGCAGAGGAGCGGAGGGTGGGGAGGCGGCGGATCACCGCGTCACGGCACGGTGACAGTCTCGAGGGCTCCTGGAAAGTCCCCGCCGGCTTCGTTTCTGCTTCCACCAGCTCCGACGATGCACGCTCGTGGCCTTAGTCACCAGCTGGAGCTTTGCCCGCAGGGAAAGCTGAATTCTAGGGAAATCCCGAGTTTCTCCAGCCGTGGCAAAGCACCGTGCGATGCCAGTTTTATAAAAAAAACAAAGCGCCAGAAATGGTCGGTACAAAAAACGCTGGCGTTTTCAGGACCAAATCGGTTGGTTTCAGGGATAAGTGCCTAGCTGGGGGATTTTGATGGATGGCTAAGGAGAACACAAGGGAACTCGGCAACGCGGGATTCATTAGCCAATTTGCACTCAGGGAAATAATTATTTATGCTCATCAAATTTCTTCCTGCAGGTTCACAGCTTCGCGTGGCGCTTTCCGCGCAGAGGAGATCAGAGGGGTTCTACCCTCCAGATCCTACAAGCCGCGTAGGACAAAGAGACAATACTGGGCAGCGGCCAAAAGAAATGAAAGAGTCTGGGGAGCCCGCTCTCGAGGGACGCTGTTGAATAGCACTTTGCGTTCCCATTTACCAGCCACAAAGAGGGATTCATTGCCGAAGCAGGGATGTCTCCTCCAGACGCATCCCCACGGTACCTCCTTGCTGTTTTCAGAGCCTTTCCATGGATGGAGCTCGGCTGAAAAGTCCCACATGGGTGCTTGGGGTCGGTGTCCGCGGCTACGGGGGCTGAATTTAGGCCACGGGGCTTGGAAAGTGCTCGGCTCAACTTCTCGAGGTTGTCACGTCGCAGAGAGCAGTTCTTAGAAGCGAGGAGGGCAAAAAGGCATTTCTGAAGCTGTTACCGAATGGGGAAGAGGAACTGGTTTTGGTATTGGTAAGAAAAAACCCATGCTGCGTGTCGAGAGATGAGAGCACGGAGCCCTGATGCGCCCTCGTGTACAGCATCACCTTCCCTGCCCCTGCAACCTGGGTGGGAAAGGAAGCGGATTGAGCCAAAGTGCAAGGAAATAATAGAAAGAGAACACTCACATTACCCATGGTCGGAAAAGAGGGGAAAAAAAATAAAAAACGCATTTTTCGGAGGGGTCTCCCCCCCGCCCTGCCTCGTGCCTCGCATTTTTCCTGCAGCCTGGAGGAGCCAAGGCGCTGGCGGAGCTGCTGCAGCACCTGCGGCTCCCAGCTGACAGCCCCGGCCCCTGGCTGCCTTTCCAGCCCGCTCCGGCACAGAGCGGGGCTGCATCAGCAAAAAGGAGGTGAGGGTTGGAAAATGAGGATTTACAAGGAAACCCAGGAGGCTGCGGGTCAGGACCCACAGAAACCCCTGAAGGCGCAGAAGCTGCTGGAGAGGGCACAAAGCAGCAGTCCTCCCAATCAGCCCGTGTACGAACCACCTCCATCAGCGACCCTACAACCTCCGAGAGGGAAAAAATCCTGCAAAAAGGCATTTTTCTTGGGGTGAGCATCCCCAATCACCATACAGAGCTGCTGTGAGCAGCCCCAAGGTGCTGGACCAGCAGCGGGTCCCTGTTCCCATCCGCTGAGGGCTCAGCACCAAAGGCAGGTGCAGATGTGCAGCATCACGGTGTCTGCCCAGAAAATAACCAGGACATTTTTTTAGCTCAGTCCAGACCCCAGTGTTTGGGACGGGATGCCCAAACACCCCACTGAGGGGCACGGTGCGTCGTTCCCCACGGGGATTGTCCCACACGGGGCACGGGGACAGCAGCCAGGAGCAGAACCAGGCAGGATTTTGATGTCCTGCTGAGCGCAGCACTCAGGATCCTTCCTTTCCCCGGTACGACACGCGAACGGCCCCGCTGTCCCGGTCCCTAAAGGCACCAAGATCTCTTTCCCTCGGCCCCACAACCAGGGGCTGGCACTCGCCGGGCACTGAAGCTCCCCACAATCATCCTTCCTGCCGCTCAACTGATGCCAAGTCCCTCGCAAGTTGCATTTTTCTTTTGTTTACGCGTTAAAAAGGGGACAGGAAAAAAAAAAAAAAAAAAAGAAAAAGGAAGAAAAAAAAAAAAAAAAAACAACAAGCGACCTCTCGCTCACCCCAGGCGGTCTGTGCGAAGCCGCCGCTGCCTTCACCTCCGAGTGAACTTTCAGATTATCTCAGACGAGATTCACCTTGCGCTGAACTTGTACCCCGCGCCGCAGCACGCGGTCACGTACCCTGTGATTAAACGTTACGGCGCAACGTGGCTATAAATTTGGGGGGAGAGGGAATGAGACACGGAAAAAGGCCGTGGGGCTGGGAGTGGGGCGGCCTCACGTGTGGCAGGACACGGGGGAAGGAAAAAGGGGGAGAAAAAAAGCAGCCCCCTCCTCGCCGCACCCTGCGCACGCGGAGCCTCCGCAGCCGGAGCGAGCGGCTCCTGCCCGGAGGTGACTTTTTGGAGAGGCTCAGCGAGAATCCACGGCCTCATCCGCACGGTTCCTTACGTAAATACAAACACCAAAAGCCACACCAGCCGGCCCCGGGATGCTCACAACACCCAGGAAAGGGTAAAAAGCAAAAAGGGCTGAGCCTGGCGGCGGGCACGCGAGCGGGCAGCGCGGGAGGAAGGCTCCCTCGGGGCCACGGCCTCCTAAACTCTGGCTGCCCCCTTGGCCATTTATTTTAAGCACACGCTGTGACGGGAGGCAGGGGCAGCCCCGATCCATCCCGTGGCTGAGGGAGCTCGAGGCACAGCACCACGGCTCAGCACCCGCGCTGTCAGCGGAGATTCATGCGGCCGGGGTCGGGAGGAGAGCGTCCGGGCAGCCAAACGGAGCCG